ATTATATTTGCTAAAATTTGTTTAATTTACTTAGACTTCCACTGATCCTTATGGAAGATGTAAGCTATGAAGAGTTTGAAAAAAATTGCAAAAAGACGAATGCATCAAGGTTCTGGGAATGTCAGAGTGGAACTGTAATAATAATCAAGTTACCAAAACGTAATTATGAAGTTACTCATGGTGAATTTGTTAGACAATTTTTAAATGCTTTTTCTAATTTACCATATCAAGACTGAGTTAGATATACCAGAGTAATAAGTATATAATTTTCAGTGCTTAATTTATGAATATATATACTATTTTATTAAAACCAAACTCTGCTGTATTTAGCTTGTTCTGCTACTCCACAGAATCTAAACAGGCAGATACTTCATTTGTATCAAGACTTCTCCTTATTCCATCTCAAAATCTGTGTGATTCTGAGGTAATATTTCTTTGGATTATGTATGTTATTAAAATACAAGATCAATTTGAATATGTAATAATTTATAGAGTACTCATTGACCAACTATCATTGTTGAGGTGGCTAATTCACAAAGTCTTACAAGTATTATCTAAAAGACTACCCAATTCTGGTTGGCTCCTAATCATTATGAAGATATTATTATATTAAAATTATGGAAATGATATAGAACTTATCATAATAGAATCCTAAGGCGACGTTTAATATTTCGGTATTGTTTTCGTATCATTCATTTATTTTATTTGCCTAATAATTGTCATATGATTTTGGTAGTGCTATAAATTCTGTCGCAGAATAAGTTTTCAAAATGAAAATGGGAATTATCAACTGGTTTAAATAATATGAATTAATGAATTTATGGTAGTTACTTTCATTTACAATATCACGTTATATATCTAATTTTTCAGATTGAATTCAGAACTATTAATAAAGAAAATCAACTATATGATCGATGCTCTGCTCTAGAAATGTGTACTTTAAGTATTTTACCACATTGTATTTATAGAGGATGTTCTCATCAAAATCTGCTGCTTTCATAATACCTGTTTGAAAATAATGTTATTATCGACTTATTTCTTATACAGCAGGAAATTATTAATTAGTAGTATAATTATTACATTGAATCAGAAAATTGGATATTATGAATGAGAAACTATGCTTTTATTTGTTTAATTTCTTTGAATACTGTAATATTCTTTTAATATGCACATGTTTTTACAATACATATAATCCCTATGTAAAAAAAAATTCACGCTAATACGCTTTGTTTTATTAATTCTAATAAAACCTGTATATAAATCTGTATAATTCATTTTGAATTTCAGATCCCTCTATGTATTTTTACTATGTTATGTCTTAAGATATCTTATGTAAGGTATGGCTACGTTAATCACTGAAATGTTTGTTAAAGCATAAATAAAATATGCCTGTCAGACCCTAAAAATTAAAAATAACAATTTCTTTTTCTGCATACTATCTGTAGTTATCATTATTATTGCTATTACTATTACTGCCAGTATTCCCAGAATTTTAATCCATTAATTTATTTTCTAATAAAGTATCTCTCGAGTTCTTTAGTGCTAATAAAAATTGCCAAAGTGGCAAAACTGTACTTGATTTCTTAGAAAATTATTAAATGTGGCAGCGCTTCTTTTCTTCTTGATTGAACAGAATAGTGAAATTAATTCATACAGTTTTGACTCTTAGTTTAGAAATTCTATGCTTTATCGAACAGCTTGATTCCTTACAAAGATATAGTTGACTAGTTATATAATGTCAATTGATATTGTTTTATTATAGAAATTCTTATACTTTATTGACCTATTTATACTTATAATTTATTATTAAAAAATGAAATATATTTTTTTTTAAAAAAAAAGTAAATGAAAAAAAGAGTAAAATAAATAAATAAGTAGTGAATCTTCATATACTCACATAATTTTACTCCCTTAAGAACTTCTTTTCAACAATTATGTGAGTATATTATAGCGTGAAAATAGAAATAATTAAATATATAACCCAATTTTATTTCTAATATTTCACTTGTTTAAACTTAATTTCTGGTCCTATTCAACTTACATTCATCAGTATTTGCATCATTATTCTGGAGATATGAAAAGTCAGTATATCAAGTAAATATGGCATATTTGGGAATTTGAACTTGGAAATTCAAGTAATTAAACAAGAGGAATCAGATTGGGAAGAGTAGATTTTATTAGAAAACATATATATAACAAAATTACAACATATTATTTCATTTTAGTACAACTCCAAATGATGGATTGGAAGAATTTGATCATATAGATAAAAAGGATTTTTATATAATAATATGCGGGCATAATACTATCATAAATTTTATTTGCGATATTATGGCCAAAAGTCATAAAGCAATCTATAGTGTATATTAA